AAACTAAATCATACAGCATTATTTTTAATAATGTAGCTTGTTTTAGGTTTAATAATGCTGTGTGTCAATTTAGCACGTGTAAGATTACCCCTGATAATTTCCCTGCTACCAAAAAAGACCGCACCCGTTTTTCTCAAACAGTTTAAGTTTGCATTATTTTTCTCTCGACATTCGGTGATATAATGCAGACAGAAAATAATGGCTTTGGATGATGATCAGTAATTATAATTTTGAGAATTGTACTCTGATATCAGCAATTCTTATATAAACAACAACAAACATATGAAACATATGTGTGAATTTCAAAGAGTTTTTCCTTTATTGCATTTTTAAATTGATTTTTTTTAAGTGTTTTGATAGGAAATGGAATACTGTTCCAGATCAAGGTGCCAGAAATAGAGAAGGCTCTCTTCAAATTTTCAGTTCTAACTTGTTCAACATAATAATTTTCATTGGTAACAGATCTAGTCTGGTAACTGTGGACAGAAGCCAGCTTCGTGAACATGTTCTTAATGTTATCAAGAACAAGATTATTGTGGACATCGTACATTAAAAGACTCAAGCTGTAAGATAACTCTCACTTCCTTTCAGGTGGGTAAACTAAACTGAACAGAACAGATGAATGGTATATAAAACATTTGTAAGCAGGGCATTTTCACATTATAACTTATTTTCTTAAAAACATAATAGTGAAGAACATCATGTTCCAGCAATTGTAGATAAAAAATATTTCGTTATGCCAGGCATGACTTGGCGACTCATGAAAAAGTTAATTGCAGTATGGTGAAGTTCGCCAGGCCCCAGTTGTTCAAAGGGCAGATAATGTTATCCAATGGATAAACCTCTGTCTATTGAATCATACTGTACATTTTGTTATGACCTATCCACTGAAAAGTGATTGATCTGTTGGATCATTTACGTGTATCCGACCTTTGAATAACTGGACCCTGAGCTATTGCTTCATTTTTGACTTCTCACTTCCCTAAAGCGATTAACATACACATACATGCATTTCTTCCTCTCTTGATAACTTTTCAATAATTATATTATCCCACCATGGGATAAGATGATAAGAACTGAAATATTTGTGAAATTGTCTGTTAGCTGTACCTCAACCTGACGTGAAACTCTTGAAACTAATTTGAAAAATAATGTTATGTGGCAAGACAGCAGAATTATGATGTGGTAATCAGATCCTAGTGGTTTAAGAGTTCCTAACGTGAAACTTACTGAAAGCAACCCTATAGATCAAGGGTCCTAGTTTCGGATTAACAGGCATCAGGTTGAGAACACTTAAGAATAAAAATTCCATTCCATTATTTACAACACCCAAAGGTTAATAAATTTTTACAAGGAGAATTCACCTGAATACCCTTTCACTCCCAAGATCTGATTCTAAAAGTAATTCTCCTTACTGACTATCGTACAATTTTTGTGATATTGGTTTGGAGAATTTGGTACTGGATCAGCTAAAACTTCCCTAGTTGATAATTTTCTTTATTCTCGTTACTTGTCTGCTTGATATTGTTTTGATATTGTGAGGAGAAATTCTGTCTTGGTCACTCATGGGAGTGAGAGGGATACCAGGCTTACTGATGACAGTTGATAATTCACTGGTTACTATCACAGACAACCCCATTTTAAATATCTTAAAAAATCACAATCATTGCTTAATCACTCAAAAAGTAATACACGAAAGGAAGAGTTAGGTCTGTGAGGCCAGGACATACAATATCATGTGGGTACAAAAATATCCATATACATCAATTATTTGTATTCTATTTAAATTATCTTTTTTAACTTACTGCTTTGTTAAATCTAGTGCTATAGACAAACAGATTGATATGTTGGTATCTTTGACTTGATGATTGGAACACTCTCCTACAAAGAAAAGTATAATAATTAAAAGACAGTAGGTCTTTATTTTTTGAATCACATTGGCAGGGAAATTCTGATCGTATCAGACAGAAAAATTACAGTAAAAAAACTCGTGATGATAAACTTTTTCTAATGACAAGAATACAACAGGCATTCACTCCACTAAGGCACAATGATAAAATGAGAAAAAAGATCATATTACTGCTTAATATACCTTTCCCACATTCTGTTCTAGTCTCTGCAGTGCATGCAGGATTATTTCTTTTTGAGTTTTATCCATGAAACGTTTTGACACCTAAAAAAAGGGTTTAAAACACATAACCATTAAATTTAAAAACCTCTTCAGCTAATAGGCTTTGTTTTCCCACTGAGGGTCTTGAGGTAATAATGTAAAGAACTGTTTCTTTCAAACCATGTCCTATTCATGTGCATGTGTACTGCTAAATCTAGCTAAATTCACAGCCTGCATCACACTGTATATTATGGACTAATAGGAAAACTACACAGGGTTTCTTTGCCCAGTAGGGATTGTTTTTTCAAGGTAGAGCTTATATGTCTTACATTATCTAAGGTACAGTGAGGTATAGAAAAGGTGAGGAAACCTGGTAACTATTTACTGGTTCAATGGTCAAGAGCAGAGTTGATCCATAGCTTTCAGATTTTATTTTTTCAGGATAAAAAAGAGTAGTAGTTTAGAATTACAGACTAAGGTCAGAGAGATTGGATAGAAACTTGATATTTGCCAAGCACCACTCCCCCTCCACCTCCCTAGACCGTCTCTGGAAAGGTCCCCTCTAAAGCAAGTGATAGAAATATGTTCTCTGGAACACAAACCTTAACCCTAACAGCCCTAAATGGTTGGTCTTGGGCAGAATAAAAATAGAATACCGGAAAAGTAGTTGTGTACCTGTGGCAAAAGAGCCTTCAAATGAGTGTTGAGGGCAGAACCAACAACTGCACTAAGTTGTACCAGAGCTTCCAAAGAACTGTGAAAAACTTGAGTGTCAGTGGAAGCCTAGATAGAAAAAGAAAAGTCTGTTATTTGTTTTGAAATATATTGGACGGTAGACTAATGACCTTTATCAGAGTAATTAAGATAATCATATAAGGACATTATTTTCAATCACATGATGGGCAGCTATATAATTATTAAATTTATTGGAACAAAAAAAGTTTACATCTTTCTGAAAAGAGTTCGAATCTAACAGGACTGACCTGGACACAAACATGACCGCTATTCTATTGACTGTTTTGGTAGCCAACATGGCTACCATAATGTTTTTTGACATTATGTAAAACTGATCTTGAAAGTACAACGTAGTCCATTAAAGGTTTTCAATTCACTTCTAAGTTGCACTGTACAAAGTAAACAAGGTAGCCTGTTGGGTTTAATGATGTTTATAAGACTAGTGTTTTTCATGTTTAAAGGCCACTTCCTTGATATTTTTTATTGATCCTTGTTTTTTGTCACTTTTAAGAAAGAAAATCGTTTATAGAAGATGACAGTTAATGATTATAAACAAGCACCCATCATGGCTTTCTCTATCAATGTTCAATGTTTTTCATGTTTAAAGGCTACTGTTTAAAGCACCAAGTAAGCAGGCCAATTGAGGCTTGCTGTCGCAGCCCTCTTCCTTGATATTTTTTATTGATCCTTGTTTTTTGTCACTTTTAAGAAAGAAAATCATTATAGAAGATGACAGTTAATGGTTAAACACAGGCATCCTTCATGACTTTCACTATCAAAGAGTGCACAAGCTACACTACTAATCTTGGAGAGTTGTCAAATAAACTTACCAATGCAGCTCTAAGAGGTACAATTAGCTTTGGTAGAATTGGTAATGTTCGAGATGTGGCATCATCAATTTCAAGCATTTCTCTGAATCCCTCACGTGCAACAAAAGTGTAAGGGTGTTTTGTTTCTCTGAGACCCTACATAAACAAAATTTGAACCTGGTAAGAACACTACCTATATATCAACCATCACCTTGGTCCAATAAAGATATTACTGAGATGTAAAATATAACTTGTGTACCATTCACACCAGTAAAACATATTTTGTCAAACCGGGTTCAACTGAATGAAAGGGAGACCGAAAATTGCATTTTACATAGAGTTCACTACTATCCTGCTAATTGAGTCTTTTGAGCCTAAAATTGTACAATACTATTATCACTTACCTCAGCTAATGTAACTAAAATAGGATCAAATGGCAGGTTATCAGGAGAAGTACTCCACTGAAGTTTATGTTTTACAGAGCCATGAACCAACCTTGAAAAAAATTGTGACATTTATAATCAATTCAAAATTACAACAGCCTGTTGTGTTGGCCCAAACATTACACACAAACAAAGAAAATTGTTTGATTAAATTGAACCCCATCCCATCTTTATAAACCCCACAGTTAAGGTCCCTTTTGTGGCAGCTTGATGATTTTTTTTTTTTTTTATCATAATTTTGTTAGAAGAATAACACTGTCCAGTCTACAAGAATGTGTTAAGTACAGAGATGGCTATGTATAGTTGTGATTCATTTGCACACAATGTTCCTGTTGCTGACTTTCTTTTGTCTCTGCCTAGCCTTACATGCACATAATTATAACCACTAACTCCTATAGATCCACAGATCCTACGAGCAAGTTAGCTTCTGTATTTACTTCACAGGTTTTCTGTCTAGTTAAATTGTTAAGTCCCATGGAACAGCTAGGAGGACACAACATCAGCTCTGATTAACAAATAGACTCTATGTTGCAACGCTTCTTTTGAGTAACAGCTGTGGTAAAATGTGATAAGAACAAAAAAGTGGCACACAAGATGCAGCTGAGTTTGTCACTGAAGTTATCATATAAGGGGCAAAATTACTGAATTGTGATTCGTCAAGACAGAGGGCATTTTTTCTTAATTTTTTTAATTGCCTCGGGCAAAATTACTTGAAAATGATTGGCTGAAAATCACTTAACAACGGCTGCCAAGGTAAAGAAATGTGCACCTCCGCCAATGTAATCTATTGCATAACTTGCACTTCTTGCAAAAAGATTTACATCAGTGAAACACGCAGAAGACTAGGTGACTGATTCCGAGAACACCTTCGCGACGTGGAGAGGAACGACAAGGACACATTGAAACCAATCGCTAGACATTTTAAGTTACCTAACCATTCTAAGCAACACATGGCAATCTGTGGTCTTTCCCTACACTTATGTAGCATGGAAAGCAGGAAAACTCTTGAACAAAAGCTCATCTTTCAAACCGGCAGTCTAAATTCCACAGGTATCAACGAACGCTTTTCATTCCACTAATTTATTCGTGTTTTTCTCGTTGCCATGTTCCCACCAATCATGTAGCTCCTTTTTCTGCCTTTAAAAGCACACACAACCCACAATTCCCTTATTTGCTCCGATGAAGGGCTAACGCTCTAAACGTCAGCTTTTATAATCGCAACGGTGTCCAATTTACCATTTCAACTTTGTTGATATATTCAAATTATAAAGAAATTTCTGTTTGTTTTGTAACAATGGTGTCCTGTTTTGCGCGAGATCAGTAAGAAAACATTTTGCCCCTTATATTATAAACAAGTAATCACATGATTCCTTGTAAAATTAAGGATTAATATCACTTGTGTTTTCAGAAGTTGCAGAAATTGCACAACTAGGGCAATTAATTCACCAACTTCCAAAAAACACACGTGATATTAATCCTTAATTTTACATGGCCCCATGCGATTACCTATACTTATTGCCATATTTTGACGTCTTCTGGGATCTGTTACTGAACAGACCCACAGCACCATGGACTCTATTTGTTTTATATAATAAAGAAGTAAAAAAACTGTAAATGATGACATCGTCTATGCATCTGACCTCCTATAGATCATGGGTAACAACCAATCAAAATGTGAGCATAATAATTATTCGGCTCATTATATTATATTTATATTATATCATTTATAATTATATTTACGATTGCAATGCACCGCTTTAAAACTGAAAAGTTGTGGAAGGAAATTCCTTTAAACAAACATGACTCACCTGCACGGTACTCCACCGTTTGTATAACTTGCAGCAAAAGAAGACTTTGGCGTCTTGTCATTAAACTTAAATCAAGGAGATAAATTCAGGTTACATTAATTTTGTTTACAGTAATTAAGCCTTAAGCTCCCAACATCGCAAAAAAATTAATTATTTACGACAGTTTGCGCCAAACTATCGATACCACGACATAGTAAAAAACTGCAGGATAGAATGGAGGAAGAATCGTTATATCTAGTTTCTCCGTGTAAAGAGATAATTCTAAGGAAAATTTTCCTACCGGATCCACAGTCTTTGGATTCAAGACATCTGAAGGACGATGTCTCGTTGCAGACTTGCAAGCGGGTGTTGGAACCTTTGCCGCGGAGACGAATCGTTTTGAACTGCCATCTGAACTGTTCAGACGTTTCTTGGTATCAGTGCTTCTTGGTGTTGGTGTTTTAGTTCCTTGCACGGGCGGAGAAGGAGGTTTCTTTCCGCGAGAAACTACTTGGCTGCGGTCGCCATGTAGCGACGCAGAAGCCATCTTGTCAACTCAAAATTTCTCCAGTGGGGTGGGGAGATAATTCACTTCAGTTGTGGAGGTAGAGAGGGGAGAATGCTAACAGACTACAGAACGTCATTGAGAACGTTACATTTGCAAGACATTTGTGTCATTTCAGGTTCCAAGTGTTTATTACCTTCCAGTTTCAATTTGTTGCAGTTATTGTTTATTTACAAAAGATGATAGAAAATCGGTGTTTTTGAATATCACATGTACACAAAAACCGTACTTGTGATNCTGTGCACAGGTTCCTTAATACGTGAGGTAATCCAGGATATTTTCTAAAGTTGTACACCCAGCTTGAAATAAATTTGCAAGTTGTTGCTTTAAAAATTCCTTAAACATAGTAGCTACTCTATGCATTATTTTCGAGTTTTTAGTAAAATTACATGACTGTTTTAGCTCATTCCCTCCAAATAACCTGAGAATGCACAAAACTGAAAGGGAGGCTGAAGACATTTAAGTAAACGTAGGCATTCTAGAGGCTAGTAAAATATCTTGTAGTAGAAGGATTTTTACCAACTAAAACTATCTTTTTTTTTCTCAAAAAGTGAATTTATATGTTTAGTTTCAGGTTGGACGAATTGATGCACGAGTATTCGGTTTAATCGTTGAGTGCATCAACAGTAAATTGCCGTTGAGTAAAGTGCATATTGAAACACTAATTGCTCTGACAGATTTTAATGCACACTTGGATAATGATGTTTATTTTTTCTAAACAATTATAGAATTGAAATGCTATTCCTCAATATCGAAATATTTACGGACGAGACTGAATCGCACCAAAATGATTTCTTTTTTACTGTGAGTGTTTGCTTTAAGTCGTTTAATAAATTTACACCAATATGCTTTTTCTTTACGGTTCAAGTAAATACATACGCACAAAACGTGTCACTGAGTTGACGGCCTTAAATTTTCTAATCCTTTTTATGTAGCTAAATCAAATCTTTCTCGTTTATCTTCCCACTTACCTTCTTCATACAAAAGAAGAGAGGTCCTTAACACATTTAGTTTTTAACTGTGGTTAATTTTCCCAGATATCATTTCCTAATTAAGATGCCACTTAAACTTACGCACAGATAGAGTAAATCCGTCTCTCTTTTTTCCCTAAAAATAGTACGTATAATTATGCTCTAGGGACTTTATTTTCATCTTTTTTTTCATTGAAAAACAACTCAGCAGGCATGCATAAGGGGTCTGCAAAAGTACTTTCTTAACTCTGAAACTCATGGATAAAAAACCTGTTTTAATTGTTGATGGCTGTGGCAACTCTCCGAACTGAAGAATGTATGGTCATCAAATATTCCATATCTAATGTAGGTTATACCAGTATTGACTGTATTCCCTTGGACAATCACTAGTCACTCTTGTGGTAAAAAACTGAGCCTGAGTCTTGCCAGTCGTTTAAGGTTTTTGGATTGCGTGTTGAATACCTTATAATTTTCTTTCAAGCAGGATGTTGTTGAGTTAAGAGGAAATGCACAAGAATAACGATCAAATTGATAAAATCGCGGCCACAGTCAAAAATTAAATCTACCTTCATTTTCAATTTTAGGTAACTATTAATGAGTTTTCAAAGGTTTCGAGTCTTATTTTTCAAAGTACCGCGGAATTTCGGAAATATTTGAGAAAATCGATTTCGCGCTCTCCATGGCCAAAAATAGCTGTATAAATTAGCCAAAATGAGCATTCACAAGAACGTCTTCGCATCTTTGGTGGAAGAGATAACATCAAAAATTAATAATTCATGTCAAAATTAGAAGCATTAAGCACTTTATTGATTCCTGTTTTTTGGTTGAAGGTTATACTTCTCCCAACGAAAAACACAATCTTTAATGGCGATTTGATAATAACCTGTGTAATAGTTTTACCGTCTAATTACAAACCGAAATTTCGATATGTGGCCATTCCCCAATCGGGTTCATCTTATGGCTATTGAGTGCCCAAGTACTCTTCTTCCAAGAATTATAATGGCAGGTTTGTGTTTTTTTTAGCAAGCGCTTTATAAAACGCCATCAAAATCTGAATAGTTTAGTTAGAATTTACACTAATTAGCATATTGCTGTTGTGTTGACCAGACTAAGGGTTTTTACGGTTTGATTAAATAATTTCGCAAAACTCTGCTTTACACCCGTAATGGATAACTTAGCTGATAAACATGTAGTCCAGTTACTGTCCAACTACTGATTTCGTTTTCGGAGATAACGCAGAAGCTCAGGTTCAAAAATGTTCGGTCAAAGGTCAAGACTGGTAACTGTAATGCGTGACAGCGTGATGCTTCTTTAAGAAGATCAAAATTGCAATACGTAACTATGGAAAAACTGTGAAACGAAATTTTTGTAAATTACAAAGTACTGCGACTAATTATATGTGTTATTACGACTTCTACCAAGCAGCTGTTAGATGAAGTAGGTAAAAACTAAGGAATTTTTATTTTGATTGGGAAGGGGGGATGGGAGTGGGCTTGGCGATCTGACATGTTGGAAGCGAGTTTAGTAACAAGAAACGCCTTTAACACCCTAAACAGCACGCGAGTTGCATTTAGCCATCATGGAAAACTGAACTGGAGGGATCAATAATGTTGACTGGAACACATTTTTCTTTAAATGACAGATACGTCTGTGTGTGTAGGAGAGCGATCTTCGCAGTAGCGAACACTACTTAAGCAGTAATGAATCGAAAATGAGGCCTGAAAAAAATTTAGGTTAGTAGGGGATTCGAACCCATAACCTCTGCGATGCCGATACATCTGTGGTGTGTTGAGGAGGGGTTTATGACCACAGTCCATAAAAGAATTGAAAATATTCCCCAAGTGTTTCGTTCTAAATGCTTGGGTTAATGTTCCAGTTTCAGGCGATTGCTTATCGCTTACTCTCAGTACCATCCAGGCACTATTAGTCTCTAAGAGACAGATTCAGCTGTGGCACTGAAATATAAACTCCAAAAATGCTTTGTACTACGTTCACTACCAAAACAAAGAAGTATCTTAAGGGAAGTAAAAAGACCGTGGTCGCGATTTGATCGATATTTTTGTGCATTTCCTCAGTCTTAAGTGATAACTGAAAAAAAAAAAAAGATTAACTAAGAAAACTAGATCAGGATTTGTTTAAGAAGCTGTCTAAACTCTGTCTACCTATCAGAATCAAACAATCATACAGTTGTGCTCAATGACCAAATACAGCTGTGCACAGGTTCCTGGATACGTAAGGTTATCCAGGGTATTTGCAAAAGTTGTACACTCACCTTGTAATATTTTACAAGATTTTTCTTCGAAATTACCTTAAACTTAGTAGCAACCCTATTCATTATCTTCGAGTTTTTAGCAAATTACATGACTGTTTTCCCTCATTCCCTCCGAATAACCTGAGAATACACAAAACTTAAAGAAAGTTTGGAGATATTTAAGTAAACGTAGGCAGTCTAGAGGCTAATGAAATAGTTCGTTAGTAGAAGGATATTTACCAACTAAAACTACCTTTTTTTTTTTCAGAAAGTGAACATATATTTTAAATTTCAGGTTGCACGAATTGATGCACGAGTTTTCGGTTTGA